CAGAAATTGTAAGGGTGGAAAGAGAGGCTTCATATTGGGACCTCAAGCATATTTCTAGACAAAAAGACTCTGTGGATTCGGATGAACACTGTGTAAACAGCAAATATTTAGATAATTCTTTTTGTAGATAAAAATAGCTTCTATGATATTCATGCAATTAAAGCTTTTATGGTACGAAACAGGGCAGACTTGAGAAGCACTGTGTGTGTTCTGTCTACCACACCCACTCTCTTTTGGTTATTTGTGTTGAAGGCTGAAAAATAATGAATTTTTGTTTAAAGAGAATTTACTATTTTAAAAGGTTTGTGTATTGACTTGCACCAGCAGAGGAGGCTGGTCTAATTAGGGCAAATGAGGCGTGAGGGTCTCCCTCAGAGACCTTCGGAATGCAAAGGCTATAAGGCATATGAAGGTATACAGACCACACCATAGCTAGGAAGAGGGACACATTGGTGGATTCCTCTTCTGGGCTCCAGCAGTACTCAGAGGAATGACTAGTGACTAGGGCCTTGAGCAGAGCCATGGAGCTGCCCTCTGGACACTGGGTAGAAGCAAACTACCTGGATGGGGTAGAACAGCTTGGGTGGGGCAAGAAGGCTACAAGTTTAGGGTGTGGATTCCCTGAAGCCAATCTATCACTCTCATTGGTGCATCCACACAACCCCAGCCCCTGTCCAGATAATCTGTAGCAATACTGGTATCAGGAGGGCAGCTTCACAGCTGTGCCCCAACTATTGGTTGGCATCCGTCTGGTGGGCATCCAGTAATAATAATAATAATAATAATAATAATAATAATAATAATAATTTATTCATATCCCGCCCATCTGGCTGGGTTTCCCCAGCCACTCTCGGTGGCTTCCAACAAAATATTAAAATACAGTGGTCTGTTAGACATTAAAAGCTTCCCAAAACAGGGCTGCCTTCAGATGTCTTCTAAAAGTCTGGTAGTTGTTCTTCTCTTTGACATCTGGTGGGAGAGTGTTCCACAGGGTGGGTGCAACTACTGAGAAGGCCCTCTGCCTGGTTCCCTGTAACTTGGCTTTTTGCAGTGAGGCCCTCAGCACTGGACCTCAGTGTCCAGGCAGAATGATGGGGGTGGAGACGCTCCTTTAGGTATACTGGACAGAGGCCATTTAGGGCTTTAAAGGTCAGCACAAACACTTTGAATTGTGCTCGGAAACGTACTGGGAGCCAATGTAGATCTTTCAAGACCGGTGCTATGTGGTCTCGGCAGCTGCTCCCAGTCACCAGTCTAGCTGCCGTGTTCTGGATTAGTTGTAGTTTCTGGGTCACCTTCAAAGGTAGCCCCACATAGAGTGCATTGCAGTAATCCAAGCGTGAGATAACTAGAGCATGCACCACTCTGGCGAGACAGTCTGCAGGCAGATAGGGTCTCAGCCTGTGTACCAGATGGAGCTGGTAAACAGCTGCCCTGGACACAGAATTGACCTGCACCTCCATTGACAGCTGTGAGTCCAAAATGACTCCCATGCTGTGCACCTGGTCCTTCAGGGGCACAGTTACCCCATTCAGGACCAGGGAGTCCACACCTGCCTGCCTCCTGTTTCCCAAAAAGAGTACTTCTGTCTTGACAGGATTCAACCTCAATCTGTTAGCTGCCATCCATCCTCCAACTGCCTCCAGACACTCACACAGGACCTTCACTGCCTTCACTGGTTCTGATTTGAAAGAGAGGTAGAGCTGGGTATAATCCGCATACTGATGAACACCCAGCCCAAACTACCTGATGATCTCTCCCTGCGGCTGCATGTAGATGTTGAAAAGCATGGGAGAAAGTACAGAACCCTGAGGCACCCCACAAGTGAGGGCCCAGGGGTCTGACACTCATCCCACACCACCACTTTCTGAACACTGCCCACAGTGTCCCTCCTAAACACAGGAGGAAGGAGTGGAACGACTATATAACAGTGCTCCCAGCTCCCAGACCATTTAGATGGTCCAGAAGGATGTTATGGTCGATGGTATCTTACATCCTATCTTATATGAGGTCAAAGGCCTTTGTCAGGTCTATGACAAGGGGTGTTTCTGCTCTTGGCATTTCTCCTGCAGCTGAGGCCGTGAAGAAATCATGTCAACTGTTGACCTCTAGCTCCAAAAACTCACTGTGACCAACCATTACTGGAAAGAGATCTTTCAACTTGCTACCACATTGTTTTCAAGTCCCAATAACACCACCCAAGCCTGGATATAGCAACTATGATACTGTAATGCATCAACTGATATTTCTGCATTTCAGACCACATTAATTTATTATTTTGACTATGGTGCCATTCTGTATAATTTGCTTGTCTCGGAAAAAGAACAAAGATTCACATTATGTGACACTTAACTTCCTTAACAGATGATAGGAACAACATCCTCAGTTAAGGTTGCGTGTGTGTGTTTAAAATTGGTGCAACAAAATTACCCACTCATCTCAAATCAACAGTGCTCAAATGGTCTTGCAATTTCATTGGGCAGCCTCGACCCTGTCATTTCACAAGAGGCTCTCAGCCCAACACTTCAATATAGACTTTGTGACCCTGCCAAGCTTCCCACCAACACACTTCCCCATTATATCGCTTAACCAATTTTAACAGAAGCTCTAAGAACATTATGAGCATGCTTGCTATTTCCAGGAAAGCGTATGACTCATTACGATCTCAACTGCACCATGATGGGACTACTTTTACTTCCTAAGGCAAGCGCAAGAAGATCTGCCTTTCACTTCCCCAAAAAGCTAAGCTTGACTTTTCTGCTCTCCAGTTTCTTCTCTGATAGCAGAAGGATTCTTAGGTTCTAGCATTGAAGACATAGGCAATTTTTACAGATAACTTGAAACTGATTTGTAATTTGCACAGACTTGTAAACAGACATTTTCCTGGTCAGTTTGGTGGGTATAAATCATGGGTAGCCAAACTAAGGCCCGGGGTCCGGATGCAGCCCAATCGCCTTCTGAATCCGGCCCACGGACGGTCCAGGAATCAGTGTGTTTTTACAGGAGTAGAATGTGTGCTTTTATTTAAAATGCATCTCTGGGTTATTTGTGGGGCATAGGAATTGGTTCATATATTTTTTTTCAAAATATAGTCCAGCCCACAACAAGGTCTGAGGGAGTGTGGAGGGAGTGCTGACCCCTGGTATAAATTGTCCTCAGGTGACCAGGCATGGAAGCATCACAGGAATTGGCTGTCTCCTTTCTATGGCCACAAATGATGAAGATAGGTAGATGGGCTTATTATTACACCCAAAGTTATAAGGTGGCATATATGGATGGACTTATCCTCCTATATCCTCAGAATAACCCTGTGAGATAGTTAAGGCTAAGTGAAATTGATTAGTCCTGAGTCAAGCAGAGGACACTATGACTGAAAGGAGGAATTCAAACCTAGCCCAAGTCCAACATTCTAGCCACTTTCTTATAGTAAGTACGTAGTGTAGACTGGTAAACATCTTATGGGTAGTAACTTCTGTTCATTTTTTGCAAGTCTGAATTAGCAATCTTTTGCTATAGATCAAGTGATATCAGATTGTATCACAACTGCCATAAATCAGAAATATAAATATCTCAGCCCTTTCTCACCAAGTGCAGCCAAAGGAAGAAGCTGGTGCAGAATTGATTTATCACATTTATATCCCCTATTTCCTTCCATCACCTGCAATGTCAATGGAGTTACCCAGTTTATCCTTAGGTCTGTGAGTGGAGTAGCTTAGACTGAGAGACCATGATATGCCCATGGCCACAAAGTACAATTCATAGCTGAATGAGAATTTGAATTTGGATCTCTCGCTGCAAGCAGCTTTCAAGTTTGTCACTTGACAGATTTGCATCAGTTATAGGATGCATCGCTCATGCAACAGCTGAGCTATAATCGACATTCCTGCTTATGTTACTGATTACATTTGCATCCCCCTCTTCCTCTAAGACTCTCCAAATAAAATCCATCCAGTTTTAGCTTCACTGTAATCTCATGAGGCAGGTAGACTTGGTTATATATTATATTTTAAACACTTATACCTTCCCAGTTTTATAAATGTTCTAGGCAGCTTAGGCAGGGAAAAACTCAGTGAGTACCAGGGCTGAGTTAGGAGCTACTTGGGTTGGGAACATACACAAACTTTGGTTGGCCCATGATAAACATAGAAGTGCAAATCATCCGTAAGATAAAACAAAAAGTTCTTCTGGTAGTGCTCATTCTTGGACTAGATCCCAGAAGAGCCAGATCAAGGGAGAAGGTAGGGTCACAGCCATGTTGTCTTAGTGGGGAAGGTCCCCACAGAATGACTGTATCTTCCACTCCAGCTGTCTAAAGTTATTTACAGTTACAGCTGTTTGTTTAAATAACTTTCCACCTTTTGTGTTTGTGCTGTGTGAAGAAGTAATTATCTGGAATGAATCTTCCAACATACAACTTCATTAGATGTCCATGAATTATAGTATTAGGAGAAAAACCTTCCCCTATCCACTCTCTTCATGTCACACATAATTTTATAAACTTCTATCATGTCACCTTTCATTCACCTTTTCTCTAATCTAACAAAAAAATCCCCAGTTCTTCCATCACGCCAAGCCAAGGCTTATGTCTTGTTGCTCCTGGAGTACAGTAGGAGCAATTCAGTAGCATGCACAAGCACGCTGTTCACAAGGAGCCATAGTTTATGGCTTATCATGACAGGAAATATGCCCAAGGAGTTTCAACATTTAAAATAAATTAAGAGCACGGGGGAACACAGCCTCCCATGCTGAACTAATTTGAAGACATGACATGGTAGGGAGTTGAGCAACCTTTGTGGACCAAAGGCAAAAAAAAGTACAGACTTCAGGAGAAATGTTCATACTCTCCTGACAATTACTGGTTTCTTTTTAAAGAGACTTTCTACAGAGATCATATCTACAGTAAAAACCATATTTTGGGGAAGAAAAATAACACCTTCTTCCGTTTGAACCCCCTCATTCACTAAGATCTTTGGAGACACTCCTTCTGGTGGTACCACAGTCTACACTGGTCCATCTGGTAGCAACCAGGAAAGTAGTGTTCTTCCTGGTTGTGCCAATTCTGAGGAGCCGAGCGCCAATCCATGACACTGTGGGCTTGGAGATACAGGGGCTTCCTTCAGTGACATGATTCCATCGTCAACTCCGGCTATGAATGCCTGGCTTAGATATCTACTTTCAGCTGTATTATACTCCATTTTTGAAGAACTACTGCTGTGGCCATGGACAAAATTGTTAAGGTTGTCTCGCTTGTAAACAGATGACATGGCTGCTGCTTCAGAATGAATCAACCTAGAAATGAAGGCACAAATTATTAGGACCTTCTGTGTACTGAAAATGATGCACTTCTGCTTAGTTCAAGTAACCTGAAAATAAATAAATAAAACATTTAAAAATTTATAACTCAGGTCTTGCCTTGCTTTTCCTCTGGAGAACAAAGCAACGTTAAGCAAATCTGATTGACAAAATGTTCTTCTCTTCCTTGGGGAAAGCTATGCTTCCTCTGTAAACTGCCCATACTGCATTAGTAATAATGCTCTACCGCTTCAAACAAATTACAAAGTAATCTTAGTATTCTTAACAACGTTATACTAAATAATAACTCCCCACAGGCCAATCTGCATACAAAATGTAACATTTAAAGCCAACGTACAATTAGCAGTTTATTATGGAACTCTGCAGATTGTAATTTACTGAAACAAATTTATACTTGCTGCAAGGAATTCTAATTTATGAAAAATTACCTAGTTAGAGCTGTTGTCATAACCAACCAACTCGTGCAAAATTGATGGGCACCTTATGTACAATCTGATACTAACAGTACTAAATGATAGAGGAGGAGGAAGGAAAGCCCTTTTAAAACAACACCAGGCTGGTAATCATGACAAATAATTAGTCACTTTAAGTCGGAATATTTTCCCCAGTGGTGTGATGTGATAACATAACTAAGCATGTCAGCAGCTTATAATTCAAGGATAAGAAAGGAGAACAAGAGGAAGGAGAGAAGCTCAAAACATTGATACAACAAAACTGTAAGTACAAAAATGAAAAAGTATATTTAGAAATAGATGGGGGAGAGAGATCACATTTGTATCAGACTCTTCCTTCAAAGAAACTCAAGGAAACACCCACAGACCTTTCTTATGGTATCCTTATAACAACCCTGACATATAACCACTGATCAAAATTGGGATGCTAATTTTTTGGTCCCAAGCTCTCGCAGGGACAGCTGATTCACATGAGAGAACGAGATCAAAAAATGAGTGTTGGCTGACTAATGCCAGAGCCCCAGACCAAATAAAAAACCAGGACATTCCAGGATCCAATCAGAAGCTAGGATGGCTTCTGTCATCTCTCACTCAAATCGGGATAGTTGAGGGGTATGTTGTCAGTAGGTTGGGCAATAACTGGTTTTCAACATCGCAATATATCACCAGCTAAACATCGCGATATACTGATATAGCATGATGTACAAAATAAGGATGGAACTACGTAGAGGTGAACAGTAGGGCTGGGTGATATCTGGTTTTCAACTTCATGATATATCACTAGCTAAACATTGTAATATACTGAAATAACACAATGCCTGAAATAAGGATGGAGCTATGTAGAGGCACTGGCTGGCTTCAGGGTTTTCCCAACATTGTGATTTTTGCAAAGCACACAGATATCATGATTTGCAATATATCACCAGTTCAAAAATTATGAAACTAATATCATGACACGGACTTGAAACTGGTTTTGCACGTTATATCACACAGCCCTAACATACATCATAATACAAAATATATTGCCAAGTCAAAAACTATGAAATGAAATGATATGGACTTCAAACCAGTTTTGGACAATATACCAGCCTTAGCTTTCAGGTGGGCTAAATTCAAAATCTTGACTTATCCAAGACTTGACCATGAGAATTTTACAAACACACACAGACCTTAACCTAGGCTTCACTGGACTAAACTCTGTACTCTGTCTGCAGCACCATACTGCCTCTCAGGAGAAATGAAAGTGTACAGCAACAGATTTGCCTCCGGCATCTACAGCAAATCATATAATGATAGTAATGAAATTCTGAAAATGTACACCATTAATTTTTATTGCTGTTTATCTTCTGATATCTTTTTTTTATAACTATGTCTGTAAAAACCTTTACAGGATTTAAGGAATAGAAGCGGTGATGACAAGGAATGATATTTCCTACTCCAGCTCCTAAACTCTGTCACACAAAATGCGTAGAGACCATTTTCCTTATTGATTAAACTTATGTGCACACACTCCTCTCTCTAGACATAACAGCTGAGCCTACCATTAGGCAAACTACAATGGCTGCCTCAGGCAGAAAATGCTGGGGGGAGGCGGTAGATAGGCAATGACAGTATCCACCCCCAGCCATTCCTTCATTCCTCTCAGTTGAAGAACAGGGCTGTGTGCCTTTGAAGCTAGCCTGCTGCCCACAGGTTCAGTCAGGGATGCTGTTCAATCACCAGATTTTACTTACAAAGTAAAATTCAACTGTCAGTCAGGTCACCTTCTACCAGAATGGGGTGTGTGTGTGCCACTGGGTCCTTCATCCTGGGCAACAAAATGGCCCTGCCAACACATCTCAGATCTAAAGGTATGGCTTCTAGGAAGGATTGATATTAACCTCCATTTTTTATTATTTTTAGAAATAGTCATTAGGGAGGGAACACCCAACACATCACAACATGTCCCTCTCTCTTGAGGACAGTTTGTAAACAATGTAGGCCTTGACCATCACACTCCATAATGGTCCCCATGTATAGGCTTTGTGGGTTTAAAAACTGCTTAGGCCTGATGTATGTCTATCCTTATTGACTGTGTGAATTGTACTGAATGCAAGCTCAGATTCAAGTCAGTAAATTTGGAAAATGCAAGACACCAGCCCTGGCAGCTGTACAGAATTTGGTAATTGCCACCAGAAGGCACAATAAATTCCCACGCAAAACAGAAGCATACAGTTCACACCTTTGGCACATCTTCCAGTAGGACGGGTGGATGGTACATGTGCAAACCTGCAACCGCAGCTACTGGGCAATCCCATGCAGGCAACTTCAGCTCTGGGGAAAAAATGCAGCAGACTGTACTTCTAGCAACTCAAAGAGCGAGCAGAGCTGTCAAATTGCTACACACAGGCAAACACATTATGGGTCTCAGGGGACTATATGGCCTTCCTAAGCAAAAGTAAGGCAAACAGAGAGTTGGCTCAGCTGACTGGGTCTGTATACATGACCACCTTGGGGACAAGGCAAGTATTCTCTCTCACACAAACACACTGAGAAGCAAAAGGAGAACTGTGGATAGAACAACTGGAACACTGTCTTTTGTCACCCTCAACATCAGATTCTTATGGAATAAACAGCCAGGTGCAGCTTCCATGCTGGGCCCTCCAAGGTTTTATAGTGCCTCAGTCAAGATAGCTTCTCGCACAACATACAGTGGTGGGTAGGGGCTCAAGTGTCAAGTCAAGATTCCTGCATAGCAGAAGCATGCAATTCACCAGTGCCTACTTATTCTTAAATGCATATTAGTTTCACAAGTGCTGGAGAAACATAAGGAAAACAATGCGGAATGAATAGTATAATCTCGCGAGGGAAGGAGCCTATTTCCTTAAACTAAATGAAGTGTTGCATCTAGGTAGCAGGATTCTCCCTCAGTGAAAGCCCAGCCCTGTTCACAGGGTGTTGGCACTGCAATGGAGTCTAGATAGATGTATGAAATGTGTGAAGTCTGGTCTGACGCTTGGCTTATTAGGCTTTCAGACATGTGTCAGTACCAGGCTCAGCCATATTGGCTGCTGTTGTCAGTTTCCTCATCGTCCCATGGCCACAATGCCCACTCCTTTCATGAGATTTGTCTTCCTGCCCTGCATTCTGTATCCAATGGGGGAAAGACACAATCTCCTTGTTTGCATGGCTTCTTTGAAATATATGCTCAGGGGAATCCTTATCATTTTTTTCCTCACACATACTTTGCCCTCGGCATTGTCGGGTTACCTCAGAATGAGGGCTGGCACTTATGATTGGATTAGAAGACTGCACCATCTTCTAGTCCAAACAAGTTGCACAGAAAAACTGTGCAAGGAAGCTTTGAAAAAGAGCTTGCCATCATCTCTAGCATGTTCCCCTGTCTCCTACTGGCATGTTTGTATTCGCTGATTTTCATCCATTTTCTCATGTGCTATCCTTATTCACACTCTATTCCTCTCAAAATAGACCAGAACTATAAATTCTACTACATCAGGTGGAAAAAAGCTGCGCAATTCCTCTCATCTATTCTTGTTCCACTATCTTTACTGACCTCTTTATCTTTCTTTTAAAAAATCTGATTATAAGCATGTTACTCTGCTTGCTGGTTTTCACAAAGGGCACCTCTTCAATCTTCCCATTTTAATATGACTTGGAATGTATGTGTGCCCACAGAGAGTTGTTTTCTGAAGTTTTTACAAAGTCCAACCTATGTAACAGATAAACACCTTTTTAATGTAACTCAGCCCAATGTCCAAGCAAACCATACCTGTCAATGCACGATTTATGAATGCTACCCATTTCCTATCAATATACAGTTGTACCTCGGGTTACAGACGCTTCAGGTTACAGATGCTTCAGGTTACAGACTCCACTAACCCAGTAATAGTACCTCGGGTTAAGAACTTTGCTTCAGGATGAGAACAGAAATCGCGTGGCGGAGGCGCAGTGGCAGCGGGAGGCCCCATTAGCTAAAGTGGTATCTCAGGTTAAGAACAGTTTGAGGTTAAGAACAGACCTCCGGAAAGAATTAAGTATGTAACCAGAGGTACCACTGTATATGCTAGCCCAGTTGCATAGGACCTCTACTAAATTAATCATGCAAACATTTCATTATAGATCATTATGAAGAAGAAGCCTTTAACACAGTTGCATGCTATAGTTAACACTGCCATTAGGTTCCATGCACAAGTCTAATAAGGCTGTAATCCTAAAACATTTACAAGGCCAATGTATAATACATTGTCATGTATTATAGTAGGGGTGGGGGTGAGGATTAATTTGGTCCGGTTTGCAGTTAAAGCCAAAATCTATTGAATTCACACTGTCTGAAGCAATCTGAGAACCAAAAGGCAGACATCTTTTGAAATTTGCACTAATCCAACAGTTTTTCAACCAAACAATGGTTTTCAACCAAAGATGCATATATTAGGAGAAAGCTTGCATAAAATGAATATATTAGTGCAAAAGTGCATTGTGTAAATGCACACCAAAATGTGTGCATTAATCGAAACGGCATGCCCA